GAGAAGCTCCTATACTTCTAGACCAATTTTTTTTTCAGGTTTAAATATTCCATCACATTGTTTGCCTGCCTGCTCACAAAGGAATGGGCCTTCTTATGACTGGTAGAAAGTCAGGTTCAGAGTCCTGAGCACATGGACGCTTGTGGTAGTCAGGAGGGTGGGCCCTTTGCCCCAACACCTCCCTTTTGGAGCTGGCTGCTGGTGTGCCCACCCACTGAAAAGGGACTCCCTGCACATAGAGATGGTGAAAAACACTTGACCTCACCTGTGTGGACTGAAGTCCATTAGTGAGACCACAGCACCACAGGGGCCCTACAGGTACCCTTCTGCCTTCCCCTCCAGAGAGCAGCAGGGAGCGCCAGTGAGAGGCTGAGGAAGCAGGGGTGCCAGCAGCCCCTAACCCCCACCCAGCCAGGGTGGCTGCTCAGGGCTTCCCTAAGGGATGGCAGCTCCATTCTGTCGAAAGAGGCTCCTTCCTCCTTGCGGTCCTGTGGCAATGCCTTCCTGAACTTGGGGATTTTGAATGGCAGACAGTTTCACTGTAGGGTGTGCATGCCTAGAAACAATAAAAGTCAAGCCAGGCACAGTGGCTCACACCTGTAATTCCAGCACTGTGGGAGGCCAAGGTGGGCAGATCACTTGAGGTCAGGAGTTCGAGACCAGCCTGGCCAACATGGTAAAATTCGGTCTCTACTAAAAATACAAACATTAGCCAGAGTGGTGGCACAAACCTCTAATCCCAGCTATTTGAGGGTGGCGGGGGAGACTGAAGCACAAGAATCACTTGAACCCCAAAGGTGAAGGTTGCAGCCAAGATAACACCACTTCACTCAAGCCTGGGGGACACAGCGAGACCCTGTCTCAAAAAAAAAAAAGAAAGAAAGAATAAAAGTAAATCTCCTAGAGTTATTCCAGTCTGGGGAAATTTGGAATGGATCAGAAAACACGTGTACCACATGTAGTGTACCATGGAGCCATCAAACACAGCTCAGCAATAGCACCGCTTTTCACCCTCATGGCAGCATCACTGACATACTGGTGGGTGAGTGCCCAGCACATGATAGGATCCTTGTGGAAGAGAAGGAGGAAGAAATAGCTGCAGAGAAGGGTCAGTGTGGCGTGCGCTTGGGAAGTCTGCTCTTCAAGATCCTGGCCTGCTACTTTGAAAGTGTTCGCTCACACCCCTGGTAATGTAGGTGCCTGTTGCTGCAGACACAGGCCTGGAGGAGCTGATGAGTGCATGTGAAATCACGGTTATGAGACAGCAAGTGGAGTTTATTAATTAGCAAACGTGTATTGAATATACCTGCTCCATGCCCTGCTCTGAGGCTACAGTGGTGACTTTTTTTGTCCTTCCCAGGGAGATAAATACAGAGAGATGAAGGGGGTGGCGACATGAGCACCAGTGAGTGCTCCCAGGGCCTGTGGGAGACAGGCCTTTAGACAGGCAAGGCATTCTCAGGCGCTGAGCCACGTTATTGTGCTGGTTACCAATCACAGTGCTTTGAGAGCTTTGGGATCAACCCTCATTTTACTATGGAGGGAAGGCTGGTGGTATTTCCCCATTGCCCATGTTGCCTGCAGTCTGCTCAGGGAGATGAGGATTTGCTAATCCTTTGAAAAATACATCGTTTTTTGTTTTCTTTTCTTCCTTCCTTCCCCCTTCCCTCCCCTCTCCTTTCCTTTCCTTCTGTCTTTCTGCCTTGACAGAGTCTCACTCTGTCACACAGGCTGCAGTGCAGTGGCATAATCTTGGCTCACTGCAACCTCTGCCTCCCAGGTTCAAGTGATTCTCCTGCCTCAGCCTCCCCAGTGGTTGGGATTATAGTCACGTGCCACCACACTCACCTAATTTTTTTGTATTTTTAATAGAGATGGGGCTTCATCATTTTGGCCAGGCTAGTCTTGAACTCCTGACCTCAAGTGATCCACCTGCCTTGGCCTCCCAAAATGCTGGGATTACAGGTGTGAGCCACCACACCTGACCTGTTTTTTGTTTTCTAAAGCTAGAGTTAAACTACTAGAGGTAAAAAGTTTCCTGGGTCAACTTCATAAGAAACTTTACTCTTAGGAAGATTACCAGCTTCCTAAGGACCTTAGAGCGGGGATGAAACTATGTGACATCCGACAACAGGAATCGGAAGGGACAGTTTTGGAGATGGGCTGAGATTTTGTGCAAGGGCAGTTGGTACACAGAAAGGCCATGGAAGACTGGAAAAGCTGTCAAGAGTACATTTAGTGCTTTGTCCGAACAGTGGTCCTGAATTTCGAATTTCTTCCTTAAACATATGCAGTTCTTAATGGGGAGATTATGTTCTCCAGCAGGAGACTCGGAAGAGAAAGGGCGGTTGACGAGTTCTTTTGCTTTGCACATGTTTCTTCTGGCCTCAGCTTGAGAGCTCTGTGCCCCTGCCCTGCCCAGATCCCTCTCGGCAGCTATGGAAGCAGCTGGTGGTGCCTGTCACTGCCTGCATGCTGCCCGGCCCAGGCCTGTCCTGTGCCCTGTCCCCTTGCTTTCCACACTGTGCCCTAACACCTCCTTCACATCCCTGAACAGCTCTGATCCTTCTGCTCACAGCCATGGTGTAGCCTGTCTTTTTGCCACATGTACTTCCCCTCCTCAACTGAGCTGCTCCGTGTCCTGCAGGATAGAAAGTGACATGCTCAGGGAGGTCTTCCCTGACCTCCTGCTTTTATTGTGATTGTAACCGCTGGTGACAACTTGGGTTTGCGTGCATGACTCTCTCTTCCACTAGTCTGTGAGGTTTAGGAGGATGGGTAAGTTCTTCACACTTTCCCTCAGGCTGAGCATTAAACAACAGATGAACAGAGACCTTTCTTGAGAACTCTGAAGAAATGAAAAAAGAGGTACAGCTGGAGGTGGTGTTTGTAGGTATTCTAGGTGAATTCATGGCAGAGCCAAAGGACAGTATTTCAGGGATGATTGGAGAACATCGTGATCTATTAAGAGTTCTTTGAAAGTTTTTGTGCCTTAAATGCCATTTGTTGCTAGGGAGGAGTCAGAAATGATATGGAGAAATCCCCCAAAAAGTAACCCACTCCCCTTTCTCCTTCATCCGGGTGCACCTGTGTTGAGCAATGAGTACATTCCAGGTGCCCTTCCTGGAAGTGGACATTAGCAGTACCTGTCCTCTGCCCAGCTTGGCAGATGTGCTCTGACCCTGGGTGGGCCCATATGATGCCGCCACCCACCTGCCAGGAAAGGTCACTGTCCTACCAGATCCCACTCCCCCGATTCCATGACCGTCGGCCAGCAGTCAGTGACACATCTGATACTCCGTGTGACAAAAGGAATGGGTGTCGGCTGAAGCAGCTAGCTGATGGCATTTGTGCATGGGTCTCTTCTGACTTAAATTTGACTTTGTCTGAAATTGATTTGTACCTAAAGGTGTGTCCCACTCTGATCAGCCACTCTTAGGATTTTCTCTGACCACTGTGCCTAAGATACTGGCCCCAGTGAATTCATGTGGCCCACTCTAAGTCAGCTCTGAGAGCCCCCAGAAAATCGAGGTTAGATTGTGTTTGTCTGTGAGGCCTAATGGATGTGACCTCCCAGCATCACAGGTTTCTCATTATTACTCTTGCAGTAAATATTTTAAGCCCAGATTCTCCAGGCTTAGGAAGCATGCACATTACCCAGCTGTGAATTGTGTTTGCTGATCCACCGCCACCACCACCGTCACTCCCACACCCAAAGCCCTCGGTCAAAACCTATCACTGTTCTTTTCAGCTAACCCATATATACCACATTTTCAGGTGGGAATCAACAGTTTGGCTCATCTAAGGGGATAGGTTGGGAGAGAAGCAGGGAGGTTGGGGGAAGGGTAGTTTTTTTTTAAGGTCTCTTAATTGAAGTGACTGAAAGTCAACTCAAAAGTAACTGAAGGGGAAAAAAGAAAACGTAAAGTTAGCTCAGGTGATTGGGAAGTACGGTTGGATCCTGGGGTGCAACTCTGGGATGGGGTCTGTCTCTTTGTGCCTCTCCCTGCCCCCCCGCCCCTTCACTTCCTGCATGAACCTCTGCAGTGTGGACAGATGCTGCTGCAGCCCTGGCCATGTCCTCATAGGGACGGTGTTTCCCCCATGAGTGTAGCAAGGGTCCTGGAAGTGCCCTGACCACACAGATGAGTCATGGGCCTTCCCCCATGGCCAGCAAGGGCAGGGGAGGGCTTGAGTGTGAGATGGGGCCCTTCACAGAGACAAATTTTGTTTGACTAAGAGAAGGGACAAAGGGTTCTGAACAGATTAAGACAACATAACCACTGCATTAATCTCATGTGGCCGCCCTTTCAAAAAAATCCTTAAACTGAATAAATCTGATTTCTTTTCGTTTACCTATTGAAGTATTATGATGATAAATTTTTGCCCTGCGTACTCTGAATAGTGGAATCTGATCTTAGCAGCATAGCTAAAAAGGTAGAGGCAAATTAAATGAACATACAGTAACACAAAAACTCTTAGAAGCTGAACATGAGCTGTATCCTCTTACACGGAAATGTACTTCAGCCACTTTATACCATAATCAGATCTTATCAGATCTCCATAGCATTTAATAATAAAAGCTTTTCGTACTATTTAGCCGATTTTAATAATAGGTTCTGACTCTAGTTGGGAACCCCCCCCCAATCAATAATCTTGATTCTTAGAAAAATAGCATTTTCAATAAAATGAAGCTTTCTGATTAAATTTGCTTTATGTTACACATCTGATCAGTAGCAAAAATTAAATGATTTTGCCATAGAGCTCCCAAAACTTGAACGCACTCTGTCTAAATGAATTGGCTTGACTGTGTTTCTAAAGTACCAAGTTTGTTTGACGCTTTGTCTTACATCTCCAGAACTCCAGCTGGAAGATGACAGCCAGAGCATGTTTTAAAGTCATCTGTTATAACATCCCTTCATCTGAAAAGGGATATAAAAGATAGAAAAGATTTTGACTTTAAATTTACTGACATTAATAATGTATGACATATTCAGGCTTTTATTAGAATCCAATCTTTAATGTATGTAATTTTATTCAGGAAAGTTAAAACGTGCTTATTATCATCAATAAAAATATGACTTGAGATCAGAGATCCAATAGCTTGATGCTGCAGAATCACCACAAAAGCAGAAACTTACGGTTTACCTTTAAATCCAACTCAGCTATTTGCCACTTAAAATTATACTATCTATCTGCTCACTAAGAAATATTATTACCTACAGTTCACATGTTGTTTTATTGTTATTAAACGCAGATAAAGGCACAGCACAATTTGTGGCTGGTCTTTAACGTGGCCCCTGTGGTGGAGGTGGCTTGGATAAGGAGCTTGATCACACTCCTTACCGGTCATCTCCAGCAGCTGTGTGCTCAGGAGCTTTGCTCCTTGCTCTCCAACTGGGTGCTGACTGGCCTGGGAGACTGCAGGCAAATACTCATGCTCTCCAAGCCTCTGTCACTTGTCTTGTCTGTGGAGCACATTGTCAAGCACCCAGGGCCCCTGTGTAAAGCAAACAATGTTGCAGCTGCTGGAGGTCCTGGGGGTACAGGGTCTCCTGTCCCACCCAGTTCCCTGGGCCCCTCACACATGGGACCCCAGGACTCATTTCCCGCAGCAGCAGCCTGAGAACAACTGGCCAAGCTGCTGTGGATTGTGTTCCCCACATTCATATGTTGAAGTGCTAATCCTTAATGTGATGGTATTGGGAGGTGATTATGTCATGAGGGTGATGCCCTCATGAATGGGATTCGTGACCTAAAAGAGATCTCAGAGAGCTCCCTCACTGCTGCTGCCATGTGAGGACACAGCAAGGAGGGACCATTATGAACTAGGAAGTGGGCCCTCACCAGACACCACGTTTCCTGGGACACTGATCTGGGACTTGCAGCCTCCGGAACTGTGAGAAATAAATGTCTGCTGTTTATAAGTCACTTGGTTTATGGTATTTTGCTTTAGGTGCCTGAACCAATTAAGATACCATCAGACCTCTAAGGATTCTTCTAGAACTTAAACACCATAATTTGGTGATAGATTTAAAGAGCTTGAGATGCTCTCAGAGCCTGTTCTTCAATGTAAGAGTTAAAATCCTGCTTACTGCTGAGCATGTCTGATCAAACAGAATCTTGCTTTTTTTTTTTACAGTAACTTTCATTCCTTCATCCTTTTTCGTGCAAAGATGTAGCAGTTTATGCATTATTGAACAAGCTGTAGATAAAGTCATTACTTGGTGAGAAAATGCTGCTTCATCTAATATACAGCGTGCCAGTCGTTAGAAGGTTTTGTAATGGTCGCATTCTAGATATGATCATCACAATATGATTTATCCAAAGCACGCTGCTGTGACACCTCCAACCAGAATGCTCAAAACCAGGTAAATTCTGTGCAGTAGGATTTATGATTAACTTGGAAGAAAAACACATCATTTGATCTGTTGTCCCAAGTCTTGCTAAAACACAAAGCCACACATCATGCCTCAGTAAGGGCAGGAATGGGAGGCGTTGAAACCGTCTGGGTGTTCTGCATGGGTGAGGCCCACCTACCTCACATCCCTCTGAAGGATCTACCTGGCCTGCAGCCTGCTTTGGAGTTCACTGTTGACGCCAAGGTGAGGAGGCTCCAGGGACGTGCTAGCAACTGCTCTTCCAAAATGCGGCATAGAAAGACAGGTGAGCAGGGGCCCTGGATGATGGGGGCTTCCATCTACCATGTCCTGGTTGGCTGTGGTTTAGTTATGGTAGCTAAAGACAGCCTGAGTCTGAAAAGTACGTATGAGGATTTGCCTGTCTTGTTGAGAAAATATGTAAAAGTCCATGAGAAAAACATCATGTTACCCTGTTAAAATAAACATTGGAGTTCAAATTGTGCTTCTGTTACAACTGGAAGCAGTAGGTAGTTTTACTTTAGTGAAAGATGAGGTAATGAAGTGGAGACATGTAGAAAAAATACAGAGAATCAAAGGAAACTGGGATCCCTGTGCCGCCTCTTTACCTACAAAGTAATGGATTTGCCTTCGAATTAGAGAGAGGTGGTCACTTAGAGCCTGGACCACTCAGGTACTTGCCCTTGATCAGGACACAGTGCTCCCACCTCACAGACACACATGAATTCCTGTTCGTTTTGCAGCAGAAACCTTCCCTTTGAGATGTCCAGGCTGCCACCTGGCTGGGTCACAAGCTCCAGGTAAAGTCCAGAAAAGGGGAGAAGGACGGGGGATCGCCGAGTCCCCTGAGCCTGCCCCATGTAAAGGCTCTCCTGACTCTGGGGTGGCACTTTACTTAATTATCCTCACACAGAAAGGTCACCAGCACTCTTGGTGCATTTTTCTCTTCCCACTCCCTGCTCCTATCGCTGAGACACCTTGTCCAGCCACCTTTTCCCTCCCTCCCACAGGCCACAGCTTTCTGGCTCAGGTATCCTTAGCAGTCAGTAGGGCTGAGCACATTAAATCTTCCTATGCCAGCATTCAGGATCTCCCATAACTTCTGTTCTAGATGACCCTGGCTCTGGCCATTGGGCAGGAACAGGGTGCAGTGAAGAAATGGGCTGTTTCTCAGCAACCCAGCAACTTGGTCTCATTGACGTCTTTCCCACACAGCTCCCCCTCCAACCTGTCGAGCGAGACCTATTAACTGCTGTTCTGAGGCCCTGACCTGTCACTGGGGTTACATTTCTTATCCAAAATCTTCATTACCTAACCTCAGCCCCTCTCCCCCACTGGAGACACAGGGGCCTCTTCATTCTGTAGAAAAAGAGAAAAAGTTTCTCTCTGCTTGGGCATGCAAGTGGGCTGGGAGGCAGTGGGGTAGATTCTTGGCACCCCAATTCAGAGTCCTAGTTCCATTTTCCATAAAAATCATATTACAGATGATGATGCTTTGCCATTAAAAACCATGCTGGACAACAGTCACTATCAGGACTATGCGTCTTGACTATTGCAAATTAAATGGGCATATATTGGGTGTATGGTCTGTGCCACATCACTGGGTAGGTATGTTGGGCCTTTATAGCTTTCTTTATAAAGCTGGTGCTTTATAGCATCAGCTGAATGCCAGTGCCTGTCATGGGCCAGACTGTGCTTCCCTGAAATTCATATGAAGTTCCTACCCCCAGGACCTCAGAATGTAACTGTGCTTGGAGGTAGAGCATTTACAGAGGTGATTACGTTAAAATGAGGTCACTGGGGTGGGCCCTCATCCAGTCTGACTGGTGTCCTTACAAGAAGAAGAGATTGAAACGCAGACACCCTCAGAGGGAAGATCTTCTGAAGACACACAGGAAGCAGACAGCATCTGCAAGTCAAGGAGAGAGGCCTTGCAAGGAACAAATCCTGCCTGCACCTTGATGTGGGCTTCCAGCCTCCAGAACTCTGAGAGAAGAAATGTGTGTGGTTTAGGCCATGCAGTCTATGCTGCTTGTTACGGTAGCCAGAGCAGACTATTATATTCACATTTCGGGGGTAAGAAAACTAAAACACAAAGAGACCGTTATTAAGTGATTTGATCAAGAGCCCACAGCTCTCTGTCAGTCTGCACTGCCCCTCTGAGTTGCCCCAAAGACTATTTAGATCACATTGGAGCAAAACAAGTAAAATTTCTGCTGCGTGCTTGCTATGTACAATGTTCTCATCTTGATGGAGAAGTGTAAGCTCTGTACGGGCAGAAAGCATGCCTGTCTGCTCATTTCACCCCCTCCACCCCACCGTCTAGATTGGTGGCTGGTATGTCTCAGGAATTTGGTGGCTGTGTTAATTAATTTAAATTACTGTATTTTGCTTTTGAAAGAAGTCACTAAAGTAGAATATTCATAAATCAGTTGTAAAGTATCTTTGTAACATATTGTAATGGCCAGTATCTAATGTCTTTTCTGCTGATCTTGTCACTTTTGTCTTCATGGCCTGATAAATATTCCAGAACCTGCTCTTCCACATGTGTTTTTTTCTCAAGTAGGTTTTGTAATTCACATGTTTGCAAAGGTCTATTAAAAGTTTATTTTTCAATGATATTTCTTGACATTGTTACCAATAAAAGTTGTCCTCTGCCTGGCCCCGCTGTCCCAGCATGCTAGCTGTTTGATAAGGCTGTGAGGCCGTCTTGATTGAGCTTCAGGCACCACTGCTTTCTGGACAAAAAAGTTTGCTTTCACGGATGGCCTGCCTTCTGGATTGTGGCGCTGTGGCGTTGTTATGGTGCTCACATTGTGTGGTTGAACCGTCCTGCATTTGAAATCCTGGGAAAGGATGAGTTCTCAGATTTAGAGGTTTGTGTTTTCATATGACACAAGTTAACCCAAAGTAGAAATCTAAGCATTTCACCTGTTCTAATATTCTGGCTTTCTCTTGTGTTTCCCATGCACATAAATAAAATGCTGCGGTACAAAGAGAAAGGGCAGAAGCCATTAGCATAAAAGAGTCTGTATTTGCTCTAAAACCTCTGTGGCCAACCCCTCCAGTGGCCTCCACCACCTCGGAACTGTGGGGCTGGGCATCCCTGGGCAGTGGCTGCTGGGAGGGGCCGGTCTACCCCAGGGCCAGCAGCCTAGCTCTCCACCATTGAGGACAATCAGCCTTTTCCCCCTCTTGACCCCCTCCCACTCAGCAATGCCATAGAAGCACAAGTAATTCTTAGGACTGATCTCCCTTTATTCTAGTTTAAGGAAGAAAAGGAGAAAGGGGTACAAGCTACCCATGGAAGTGCTTTGGTGTCATTTTGAAGAGTCTGCAAATAACTAAACCTCCACACTGGCTAAGGTAGAGGTCAAAGCACTCATCCTTCAGGACAGCCGAGGAAGGCCAGTCCGCCTCTGCAGGGTGTGTCCCCAGCTCTGGGGCTGACATGCTTTCCTCTCCTAGAATGTTCCGAAATTCCATGCAGTTAAAACATTTTTTTTTATTTTTTTTTGAGACCGAGTTTCACTCTCATTACCCAGGCTGGAGTGCAATGGCACGATCTCGGCTCACCACAACCTCCGCCTCCTGGGTTCAGGCAGTTCTCCTGCCTCAGCCTCCTGAGTAGCTGGGATTACAGACACGCACCACTGTGCCCAGCTAATTTTTTGTATTTTTAGTAGAGACGGGGTTTCACCATGTTGACCAGGATGGTCTCGATCTCTTGACCTCATGATTCACCCGCCTTGGCCTCCCAAAGTGCTGGGATTACAGGCGTAAGCCACCGTGCCCGGCCAAAACATTTTTACGTTAGGGCTTTTCTAGCTTTTTTCCTCATGCACAGGAAACAATGTTTCTCATTCCTATTCAATACTCACATCTGTGACTGAAGAAACAGCACTTATTGTAATTGTGTTTGATGCACTGCAATTTTCTACTTTATTCCCTTAAACTCAACACATACATATAGGCTGGTTGCAACCCATTAAAGTGATTTTCATCATCCACTAGTGGGCTTTGAATCACAGTATGAAAAATTTTGCCTTCGATTTAAGCTATCAGCTAATTTTTCCTAATTCACTCATCACAATTTGTTGTGGGAAATTAGTCTGCTGTTTGAAAGAAGATAAGAATTGCAAGAAGAGAAGAAAGGTTTTGCCCAGAAGGGCTGTTAAGCTGCCCAGGGGTGAGGGTAGGGGCAGTGAGTGTCCAAGGAGTAGAGGAAGCCATGGCAAGGCAGCTGGGGGCAGGACAGGGCAGGGTGTGGCCGTGCTCCCTAAGACTGGATCGGTCTTAGAGTTCTGAGTGGTCTTTGAATTCATTTAGTCTGACTTCCCAGTCATTCTAGAAATGAAAAAGATGTTTTCTCTGCGTTTATACTCTATTTTTCTGAGAGTCACAGCAATGCTCTAAAAATGGTTATTTCAGAAGGAAACTCTACTGTTCTTGTTATCTTTTGTGTCACTGGTACTCCTGTACTTTGTGGTTTTGATTTTAGAGACGGCCTCACCCTGTTGCACAGTCTAGAGTGCAGTGGAGTGATTTTTTGTAGACACAGGGTCTTGCTGTGTTGCCCAGGCTGGTCTCAGACTCTTGGCCTCAAGCAACCCTTCCACCGTGGCCTCTCAAAGCCTGGGATTCCAGGTGTGAGCCACTGTGCTGGCCCCATGACGTGTTTTTATGGGTAAAACAGATCAATGTAAGTAATTCTCAACTTGAAATACTTTCACAACTATAGGAGGCAGCTGTCAGCACCTAATTTTTCTGATGGTAATTCGGTTAGTCCGACTTCCCAGTCATTCTAGAAATGAAAAAGATACTTTTCTGTGTTTAGACTTTTTCTGAGAGGCACAACAGTGCTCTAAAAATGATTCTTTCAGAAGGAAACTTTCTACTGTTCTTATCTTTTGTGTCACTGGTACTCCTGCACTTTTTGGTTTTGTTTGATTTTAGAGACAGGGCTTCAGCCTGTTGCACACAGTAAGTACTGTCCATGTGTCCCCTTGTATTTAACCACCAGAGAAACTGTGTGGAAATCCCAGTAAGCTAGGGAGTGGGGTGGTGTCCAAGTGCCCCGCGCCACTGAGCCTTGCTGTGTCTCCACAGGCCTCGGCAAGACGCGCAGGAAGACCAGCGCGCGGGACGCGTCCCCCACGCCCAGCACGGACGCCGAGTACCCAGCCAACGGCAGCGGCGCCGACCGCATCTACGACCTCAACATCCCCGCTTTTGTCAAGTTCGCCTATGTGGCGGAGCGGGAGGATGAGCTGTCCCTGGTGAAGGGGTCGCGCGTCACCGTCATGGAGAAGTGCAGTGACGGTTGGTGGCGGGGCAGCTACAATGGGCAGATCGGCTGGTTCCCCTCCAACTACGTCCTGGAAGAGGTGGATGAGGCGGCTGCAGAGTCCCCGAGTTTCCTGAGCCTGCGCAAGGGCGCCTCGCTGAGCAACGGCCAGGGCTCCCGTGTGCTGCACGTGGTCCAGACGCTGTACCCCTTCAGCTCCGTCACCGACGAGGAGCTCAACTTTGAGAAGGGGGAAACCATGGAGGTGATCGAGAAGCCTGAGAACGACCCCGAATGGTGGAAATGCAAAAATGCCCGGGGCCAGGTGGGCCTCGTCCCCAAAAACTACGTGGTGGTCCTCAGTGACGGGCCCGCCCTGCACCCTGCGCACGCCCCACAGATAAGCTACACCGGGCCCTCGTCCAGTGGGCGCTTCGCAGGCAGAGAGTGGTACTACGGGAACGTGACGCGGCACCAGGCCGAGTGCGCCCTCAATGAGCGCGGCGTAGAGGGCGACTTCCTCATTAGGGACAGCGAGTCTTCGGTAAGTGCGCTGCGCCCGCTGCTTCTCCTGGAGGCAGTAAATGCGCCTTGCAAGGTGGCTCTGTGTGCCACACCCTTTTCACATTGTGCGAAGTGGGAGATGTAGATGAATGCAATTTAGTATAACGTTGGCTACTCCGTGATTTCCTTACATCTGCTTTGGGGATAGTATGTGTCCATTTCTGGAGTTGGAAGGTTAATTAAAAAATTTTTTTTAGCTCACAGAGGTGGTTCTGCTTCTCTCCTAAGATTCCCCCTCTTGTATTTTACGGGCTCAAACATCATTTTCTCTCCTGGTTGCCCATTCTGTGTAAGCAGAAGGCCCAAGTGATTTACTTTGTTTCTACTCGGTCTGTCTCCCAGAGAAAGCAGTCACTGCAAGCCTTGTGGCTGGTTTCTGACACTGCCTTTTGTTGTTTGCTTGCTTTTTCTTTGTAAACCATATAATCCCAAGGTCATTGCCTCGCCAGGCAGCGCCACTGAGTTCATCTCTGAAAAGCTTTTAAAGCACTTAGGAGATGAATTGAAAAGAAAACAAGGGTTCTTAAAAGAGATGAGTTTTGTGTGTGTGCAGTGAGTCGGAGATAGGAGGTCACTCGACTGGGGCAGCAGACCACTTCCAGCAGTGGGCAGGCTGTGGGGGTAGTTTCAGGCATGGGGTCAATTGGAGCCTGCATCCCAGAAGGCAGCCTTTTTGGGTGTGATGGAAATACTCCACCAGTTTTGCAAACGTCTTTCCGAATACGCTTTCTACAGAGAGACCCCCAAAACAAGCATTTGGGAGATAGAGTTTGATGTATTTGTATTGTATTGGTTCTAGTAGGCTTCAGTTTCATTTTTAAATGCACACTATAAGACTACTATGTACTACCTACTGCCACTGTTGTCCTCTGAAAAGGTTACTAGCACCATGAGTAAGTGTACATTCAAGAGTCCTGTTGACTGATCTGAGAGGCATTCAAAGCCTTCCAGAAAGAGGCAACTGCTTCTCTTGGGGGAAGGAGCATCGTGGTGGTGGAGACTGGGCTCCTTTATGGTGTCATCAATTTTGTGGAGCCTTAGATGTACTTGGAAGGGCATGCCAGCCTGAAAGCTAACTTCATCTGAAATCTGAACTCTGAGATTTTCTTATCAAGTCACCAGGGTTTATCATTCCTGGCAAGACATCACATTGAATTGTTCTCACATGATGAGAGCTCTGTGCACCACTTCCTTTAGATCATGTTTGAAGCCTTAAGCAAATTAAGGACAGCAGCGCTTTTAACTCAATCGAGCAGAAACTTAGAGAAAGCGCTGGAAAACCAATTACAATATTAAGTGCTTGGTCCAGAGTGCTTAAGGGCTAAGGATAATGCACAAAATATGATCTTGGCTTAAAATTCTTGAGTTTGAAGAGACTTCTCAGAGGGAAGTCCTGCAGTGTGGAGATATTGGCCCCAATCATTATTCTTTCTTCCTAGGATTTGGGGAAAAGAGGAAAGACTTTAGAGGGTAAATGAAAAAGGTGTTCTCTGCGGTGGTGGCCTTAGGGAAGACCTATGGCTTTTCTGTTTAACATGTACAGGTGGTCATTGCTGTCTGAATTGAGGGCCAGATCCCTTTGGATATGGAGTGATGCATGTTTTGGCTGCATTTCCTCTCAGAACTCTACACCCCACTGTCTCAGTTGCCTTGCATTGTTAGAGAATAAGCTGACTTTTTCTAAAGAATTTAAGTACTAGTTGTATTTCCTTTTAACCATTTTTTAATGGAAGCCTTTCCATATATTTTACAGTCTTCCTTAGCTTAGAAAGTCAAGGAACAACATGTATGATTCCAGAAATAGAAGGTGGAAAGGGCTTTACTGGGAGTTGCATCGGCTCTTCACACATAGCGGCACTGTCTCGATCTGAGGCTCCACATGGCCTGATGCTGTGCAGGGCAGCTGGTCCTGATGGATCTTGCCATGACACGGGCCATTTCAGCTGTTAGTATGCATGTACCACAGGGATTCTGCAAGGGCCCTGAGGTGTGTTG